GTCTGGTTAGAACAGGCTCTAAGTGTTAGGCCCTACAGTAAAACAAAAATAACATTAAATTAATTGTGCCTGTTTTTTGTGCCTCACCATTTGCCGAAAGATGTAGCGTAATGCCCGAAGAAGAGGGCTATAAATATATTGCTTTGAGAATTTCAAAGCCTGATTACCTCTTGGGCTACTCCACACTAGGTCCCTATAATATGGGCAAGTCTTACCTACACCTTCCTGTTGTAAGATAACTGACAACGTTTCCTCTAATAATACTCAGTGCTCATTGGCACTATCGGTATTGTAGGCGGGGTTAGCCAGATTGAGGACGAGAAGCAGCCATCGTGGCACAAACCGAGCTAAACGGACGGTGACCTTCAAAAACAAAACGCATTTATTTTCAAAACCGCGAGTCGGGCGATCGGTTTGTGCTAGAGAACCGCCGATCCATATTGGATACTGGGTATCACATAACTCAGCCACATTTGGCAGAAAGGGAGGGCTGCACTCATACCGGTGCTAACCTTTGTTGATGAGAAGTTGGGGTCGCAAAATATCATTCTGTGAGCCCCAATTGGCCCCCGGACCACAAGTACGAGACACCCGGTCTAAACAAGCATTTAATATTATTATAACCCATTTTCAAATTTCAAAGACGGTTATTGATGGTAATCCTGACTTAAAGTCTGCTCTTCGTCTTTATGGGTAAATCGTTCGCAGAAATCTCTTTTTGATCTAGTATTTCAAACAAGATTTTTGAGAATCAACCAACCAAGCGAAAAAAAGAGCAATAGTTTTAAAAAAAAGAGGGAAACCTAATACTAATAATTTACACCCCCCAAAAAGCCTAATCAACAAGGGCGACAAATGCTGAATACTTGTTCTTAGTAGAAAGTAATGTACTGATTATTTCCCTTTGAATGATAGGAACCGCATGATCTGAGCCTGCAACGGTTGTTCACTAGCAAGGATAAAAGTCCATGGACATTATTCTTTTAACATATGAGATAGTTACTTTATTTTGATTACTTAAATGATGAAAAAAATTGTTAAAAACACCATTTTCTGCTTTGTAAATTACGAGTTCTGCTTAAGAATGAAATCGACTTGAAACTCAGCAGACAACAAACAGTTACTCACTATTCTTTGTGTTAAAAAATCCAAGCGGGGTAACTCTTAATTATTCTATGATTTCCGGGAATTCTCAATTCTGTGCTCAGACGGTACCGCAAACATGTTTGTTGACAGTGTTGAGCTGAAATTTTGACATGGATTACTCCAACCGTTTGTGATAATGTTGGATGCACTCTGATCTCTACATTCTCATGATGTCGATGAATTTTTCCTTGGTAAGTTCTTCGTTGATTTTAGCTCCACAAACAACGATTGTTAGATCTGTGTATGCATGTTTCACGTTACAAGTTGGTTTATTACGACTGACATTCGTTTGGAATTGAGCTTTACTTTGAGACACTTGAGTCGTGAGTTGGGTGGGAAAGTGCAGATGATCCAGGTCGCAAATGCAGCAAGCTAACTATCTTTTTTGGTTTATTGATTTTATTTTAAAAGTCGATGCTGCATCTCTAGAATTGGATTTACAATAATGTTTAGAGTGGCAGCAGATTAAATTTGTTTTCTGCAACAAGCCTACGGCCTACACACCACAGCCACAGAGGTTGGCTAACACACAACATTATTACTCAACATACTAGATCTAGATCTAGATCTAGATCTATACTGCTCAGTTAAAGAGCTCACACAGGCGGGACATTGGAAGTGTATTGTGTGAACAGGGACAGATGAAAGCCACTTTCTCCAGAGATGCTCCATTATTCCTGTCCTTGCACCTACCCTACTTCCAGCACCATTAATCCTTTGATATCTCAAGGCGAAAAATCACTCTCATTCAACAAGCCGAGTTGGAAGGAAGTCCTCTTATAAAACTTGCTTCTGCGATTTACTTTTGACCCCACACCTTCCACCTTATCTATCATTAAGTCTGTGTATGTTAGAATGCACCATTGAAATGCAGTAGGCTCAGTCTTTTGTCTGTACCCTACTAAATTGAGTGCCGTAATTTTAGCTCGAATGAGTGTGAAGGCTACTTCAGTAAAAATCCTGGAATTTTATGATTTTCGAGAACAAAGAGTGTCCTTGAGGCTGGGTCTATGAGAGGAATTCCTTAGTGAGCGACCGCTATATATGAAATAGAGTAGAATAGAGGGTTTGGTTTTTGTGCGGGGTAGGGGTTCGGTCAGGGTCAGAGTTAGGTATTTTCTTTTGTGTTTGTTGGCTGGTCGCTCGTTTTATGCAAAACCTTCTTGGTAGAGTCTTTAGTTTTCTCTAAGGTTTCGTTTTGTAAAATAGTGATGGTGAGGGATGGAGCTAATTTTAAGAGTTTTGATAGAGTGAAAAATGTTTATCAGTGTGGTGATTACAAAGCCAGTGGTTCAGATAGGCCTACTTCGCTACAGTACCTTTCCTTCTTGTCGTTAAGACACATGGACTGAAAGCGCTAATGTTAACTCACGTCCTGTGTATAAATGCACAATGTGCATGCATGCTCTGATGTACACTCTTGAATAATATGCATGGTACATATATTTGTGTATAAAAACATGTTATATATATTATTCTAACACACAGAGAAATACTCTTGATTGAGGGCATTTGTCAGAAAACTTAAACTCTCTGCCTGCCCATGCTGCATTATGCTGAATGCTGCAATCAAAGTTTTGTTTCAACTGCCTATCTTTTTTGTGTTCATAACATATTTCATCATGTTATTATAATATTATCACAAGATAGTCTTGATTGTGTGTCAGTTAGTCAAGCCATGATGATATATATAGTATTTGAAATACACTTTGTACTCAAGGACAGCAATTAGAAAAATATAAAGAGTAATGGCGGATAGGCAGTGTTTTTTTAAAACTTTAGATAACGACTATCTACAGTGATACAGGATGACACAATGAGTGAAATAGTACCAGCAGCTTCTCTGCACCTGTTGCAAACCTATTTAAGTTATAAATGTCGCAGCTGTTGTATGTAACCTTTAAACTTACTTCTCCCGGCCCTACCCATCCTCAGTTGCCTCTTTACCTTAAAGTTAAAAAGTGGTGTATGCTGTAGTGGTTTATCTTTATCAAATGTTATATCCATAAAATGTACAACTGATGGCTGAATCTTCCTTCCTTATATTGAACACAGTAGGGATGCTGTACATATTTGATTTTTAAGAAAAAAATTGGAAATTTGCGCAAGTTGTTAAACTGGTGTCTTTTTTTCTCTGGTCCCCTGATTGTCTGACTCACTGAGACCTGCTTATATTTTATGTTTGGATCTCTCATTCACATATCATGTAAACTTTACTGCTAGAACCTCCTTGTAAAGGTTATTTTTTATTATTTTGTTCATTCATTAAATAGAACTCAATAAAATGCTCTTCTACCTCTGTTAAAACTGTATGAACTTCTCATTAAACTGGCTGTTGTGAACACAGCTGGACAGAGAAAAAGCTCTCTGTTGTGGTGCAGCTGCCTGATTATTTAATATCTCTGTTTCTGTTTGCGCCAAGGTTTTTATCAACACATGGTCGGTCATATCACGTGAAGGGCGATTATAAAAGTAAACTTTAGCCCTCCATTTGGAACTTACTTTTATGAGTTTGTACACACATCCGGGGTCTCCATAATCTGTGGGGCTACCATTAGTTTGCAGAGACAT